CCCCAAAACCCCAAAACCCCAAAACCCCAAAACCCCAAAACCCCAAAACCCCTATTGCTACTTTAAAATCTTTAGATTAATAATAATTTTACGACCAATCATGGATCCCTTGAATGCATACGAAACTCACTCCCAACCGATCACCGATGAAGTTTTAGAAGCAATGAAGGACAAAGGAGTCAGAACAGAATTAGTGCATGACCTTAGGGAAGATCCTGGGTTCCACAAGTTCTGAAATGAGTGGATACCTCAACGATGGGAGCCTGAAAAAGACAATTCAATGAATTCTGACTCAATTCTGATAGGTTGTCTAAAATCTAAAATAGAATTAATGCAAAGAAATATTGAGAAGATGAAGCTTCCCTATAGAAGGAATGTTGATGGAACATTTGCAAAGAACGAGAAAGATCTTGAGTCAGAGATCTGAAGTAAATTATGCCAGAAGCAAAGAATTCCTATGAGGTTTTTCAAGCAGAGTGCTAGTTTGTCATTTGATATGAGCAAAAGGAAAGACTCTATTTTACTAAAGTCTATCAACAATATACAGCTACCAAAGTGCAAATTATTGGCAATTTCATGTGCTTTGAAGCACAAAGACATCATACAAAATTTTGTTTCAAACTCTTTCCCGAACGAAGTTGAGCACTTCAGATTGAGTAACACCACAGAAAATCAGAATGGATGGAAACTAATCAGTATTAGATGCTATATAAATTCTCTCTGCTCAATGAAACCACCCTCAGTCTTGACTCTTCAAAAATTCTATATTCCTCAGTCTCAGTTCACTTCTGTCCTCTTGTTTGGAGCTAAGACTTCCCAAATATCATTTCTCACTTGCAAATTTTGAGTAACCTCTCCTCTCAAATTGCCAGAATCAGTTAATTTCACATCAAAAGTGTTAGATTTCGATGGTTGAGGATCAGCCCCAGCTGGAAATTGGAATGTAAATCGAGGAGATTTTGAAGATTTAGTAAGCTGATTAAAACCCCTGAAATGGATCATTCATGCAATATTCACAAAACCTTGTCGAAGGATCAAGATGGAAATCTTACGTAATCAAGGAGCCCTCCATCTTCTAAAAGAAATTTAACAAGAATTAATACATTCTCCAATTCAGAATCAGGCTAAAGGGGTTTTGGGGTTTTGGGGTTTTGGGGTTTTGGGG